CGGGCCATACTACTTTAGCCACAAGAAGCTAGGGTTCTTGAGCTTAGCAATCGATAATCAACCAAGGTATATGGCGAGATTTTGGCTAAAAAATTATCCTGCTTTAATCTACCTTCATCCGCAGTTAGCTAGCCTTACTTTACGCATGGCCTTTTTGCCTTTTTTTAGACAGGATTATATAGGAAACATTAATATTGACAATATTTGGAATAAACGATCTAGGATCTTGTCTTGAGGGACATATGTAGTAAGGCTTTAGGTTGATTGAATCCAGAGGCCCTATGGCAGTTTGATTAAAAAGCTAAGTATTAATTTAAACATGGGCAGTAGCGCTAATGAAAAGCATGATCAAGGAATGATTCGGATTATTACATCACCTACCTGAATGCGATTTTTCAAAGCCTGATTAATATGCATATTCTTTGGAGCTGCTGTGAGGTAACGTGCTCTAATTTCCTCATCATCCATGGAAGGATAAGAAGAATTTGATGGATTGAAGAATAAGTCTAAATGGCGCCTGGCTCTGCGTAAAAGACGGCGACGAGCCAATTTGACTTCAAGATTATCCATATTAGCGCCAGAAAGTTCCTTGGGAGACAACTCTGTAATACTTAAGGTGAAATGGAGAAAATCAGAAGTATAACTTTTAAAATAACCCGAAAAATTATGAGGGTTCAGATTATTTAATTAGTTGTTTTAGAATATTATTCTTCTTCAAATCGCACCCTAATCAAAGAAAATCCTTGCTGAGCTCTGATTTGTTGCACTATCTACAATAAGATTGAGGTAAGCTCTAGTAGGGAAAATTGAATGCAGACTAAGTGATTACAAACGTAATACGAACTTCAATTAGATGTGCCTACCAATCCCCTTAAAAACTTCTATAATTTATAACTATGTAATTTTGGTGGCATGTGAGGGTTGTGAAAATTTAAACAAAATTCAAATTATTAATGAAGATTAACGTAGGAGCGATTGCAGTGATAAAAAAATCAAACAAAATTTTAAAAAATGTGCAAGGCTCGAGAAGAACAAAATAAAGAAATTAATGCAAAAATCGAAATCAAACAAATGTTTCATATACGCCAAATATACATTTAATTGGTCACGAAATGAAAAATAAACGCCTATTTTACGAGAAAAGATCACGAGGGATAACTGTTGCATAGTTTAAGAAGCATGTTAAAAACAAGATAAATTAAGTGAAAATGTAATTTTGGGTC